CCTGGAGAAGAGAAGGCTGTGTGGAGACCTCATAGCAGCCTTCCAGTATCTGAAGGGGGCCTATAGGGATGCTGGGGAGGGACTCTTCATTAGGGACTATAGTGATAAGACAAGGGGTAACGGGTTCAAACTTAAACAAGGGAAGTTTAGATTGGATATAAGGAGGAAATTCTTTCCTGTTAGGGTGGTGAGGCACTGGAATGGGTTGCCCAAGGAAGTTGTGAATGCTCCATCCCTGGCAGTCTTCAAGACCAGTTGGACGAGGCCTTGGGTGATATGATTTAGCGTAAGGTGTCCCTGCCCACGGCAGGGGGGTTGGAACTTGATGATCTTAAGGTCCTTTCCAACCCTAATTATTCTATTATTCTATGATTTCATGTGCCATTTAGGCCAATTTAAGAGCAAACAAATAGCAGTTTTGGTTTTCTGACTAGTTCCCAATACCAACACAGTATTTCCTTTGTCTGAAATCTGAACAGCCAATTTTAACCGCAACATCTTCCCCATCTTTCTGCTTCACAGTCCATGCATTTTTTGCATGTGTACATCTGTCTTCACAACTGCTTGCTCTCCCATTTTCTGCCTTATCACTACTTTGGACCCGGTATCACAGCAACACTCCAGCTATTTGACATGACTGGAACCCTGAAATATGCCTATAGAAAAGCTGTTAATGTAAGGTTGCCTTTTCTTTTTTTAAATGATTACAATTCATATCTTAAACCAGCATTTAAAAAGAGGGTAAAGCTGCCAAGTGCTGAAGGTAGCAAACAACTCAGATTTTTCTGAAAGCATTTTGTGGCAGCTGCAAGTTTGTATTACATTTACTTAGAACAGTAATTGCTTTTGGAAATTAGATTTTCCTGCTTGTTCAAAAGATTTATGATGAGTAACCATAAAAATTCAAAATTTAACTCCCTAAGTGCCAGTGTTAGCAAGTAGATATAGAAAATGTGCCTGGCAAAATTAAGCAGAAATGGAAATATACATCAGATAATCCAGGTCATTTCTTTGATGATAATCTTTGATACACCTCAGAGCATGCATGCTTACAGTCAGTCTAAACATCTCTAACAGTACAACTTGTTTACTCTTCCCCATCCTAAGAGGACTCTCTCAGGAACAGGAACGTGTTGCTATCCAATCTACATTTTCATTTCTGTGTTTTCATCCTTCTTGTTATATTCCCCAGGTACTCCTAAACAATTATTCCCTATTGGTATTTTCAGTTCTTACTTAGTCAAGCCCTAATTTAATTTTTTTTTCTTTCAGTGACATGTTTTTCCATCACCCTTTCTCTAAGAAGATTCGATTTGCCAAATTATTTTGGTAATATCTCACCTAATACCTTTCATGCCAGAAGGTGTCCTTGAACTGTTTGTCTTCCAATACAATCTGCACAAGTTGAACTTTCAGACCTGTATTATTGGAACAATGAGCCAGAGGGCCTCTGGGATGTAGTAACCAGCACTTGAAGCTAGAAAAGCAATCAAGGATGGCTGGATTTCACAAGGGAATGCAACCAGCCTTTATATTTTCTGTTACTGTTTGCTTGCTGTGTATTTTTCTCCTCTCACTGGCTTTCTGTTGCATTTTTTATCTTCCATGCTGTAGCACCCACACAACGCTCACAGACTGAAGTGAGGACTGGGATAGCACTCATTTCCATAGAAGCCCTCATGTATTGACATCATCTGCTCCCATGAGAAGGAGGGTAGTGCATTTCAAACACTCTTTTCAAACATTGTGTACCATTCTTCCAATCAATCAACAAAAATCACTCTTCCTCTATCAATAACAAAATATATCAGCATCTTCTCCAGATGTGTCCAAACTAATTAAAGAAAATATGGTGCCTACATTTTACTTACAGAGTAGTGCTTAAATGGCAATGCAATTTCTGCAGCACCCTTAAATTTTTCACTGGATGTAACTATGCCACACAGACAAATGACAGCACATCCTTACTGCAGCAGTACACATAGCCCTATAACCAGCCCAGGGCTAAGTACCAAGACATACAGAGAGATGAGAGGAAGCACAGATCTTAGGAGTGGGATGTAGCTTGCTTAATTATAGATACCTAGTAAAACATAAGTACCCAACAGTTCGGTGTCAAGGCACCCATGACAGTAAATGGAGACCTAGTCAATACAGCTTATGTAGTTTAAGGTACAATTCATTTTAACAAGTGTAGCATAAGGCAAATTACACCCTAAACATTACCCACCCTAATGACTGTATCTGACCTGCCCAGTTCACACACAGATGTTTTCCAGAACAGCAAAGCAACACTGAGCATTTTGGATTAAAAAAATAACGTGCCTCACAGTTTGGTAAATATCAGCCCCCAAAAGGTTAACCCTGAATGCAGAAGAAAATAAGACTTGTCTCATTGAGACCATCTGCTGTAGCAATCAAAGCAGTTAGAATCCATTTTCTTGCAGAAGTCTGCAGAGAATATCACAAACTAATTGGAGTCAAAACAAATAAGTTTATTTTGTTCTGCATGGCCAAAATCCATCCCACTTAGCTTTACCTATCTAAGTAAAGATAACAGCCTGTTCTAGGCTTTTCTCCATAAACGAAACAGACAGAGGTTGCTCCAAAGGCACACTCAGCACCACCTAAGATCTGATTTGTCCTTTGTATGTGTGCATCTCTCACTAGTGATTATAAAGAAATCCAGGCTGCCACAATCATCCACTTGACTTACAAAACTCAAATAGACCTCAGTGAGTCTCAGTAAACAAAGCATGAACAATTTGAGATTGTAGTTGGAGGACCTTTCTCCTTCAAAACCCAAAAATATGACAGTATGTCAAGCAATAAAATAATTGACACAGCAAGAATTGCTGTGGTCCCATTACTGAAGCCCACCCTTATTTCTTCCTCATTAGGGAGATCAGCAATTGCATGTCAGGATGTTTGCTGTGAGAAGCAAGACTTTTTTTTTTAACTGTGACACAACACCATCCCTGAGCTGTATGGTATGATGGCAGATTGTGTTCTGTATTTCAGGGAGTCCAGTGCAATGTTTTTCTCATTCATTACTGGCAATCAAGCCATTTGAAGGAAAATGAGAGATGAAGAGCTAAACACTCATTTGGAGAGAGGAAAGATAATCAGGAGAATAAAAGTCTTGTCTCAGATTTTGTATATGATTTCTCAACACTAAGGAACATATAATTGATGTGCAACACATATAACTAATATCAAACAGTAAATTAGATTCAGAGAGTCACTCACCAATGGAAATTAACTTTGAAGAATAAGTAGTACTAACCCTATTCATAAAAACAACAAAAACCTCAACAAAAAAACTGACAGATATGCATTAGTTTAATATTGACAATATAGAATACTGTATTACTGAACAATGCATGGGGCATGCCATTCTAAAAGATAACTAGGTATTTTGACACGACTGTTTTAAGAAGGGCTGAGAATACTGATATCTAAAGAACACCAGTAAGGAGAGATGAATCAAACTATATGAGTATGCTCCCTGTTGATACCACAGAATTTGCAAGCCTTATTCTACAGCAACAATAATGAAACACAAAAAGGCAAAAAAAAAGAGAAATTCTTAAGTAGAAATGCCATGAGATACAGAGAAAGTGAGGCACATTCAAATAAAACATAAGATCTTCAAGGATAGGTATGTGTGCGTGCAGAATCACAGATTTAATGCCCTAATTCTAGATCATGCAACAAGAAACTTCTTTCATATCCCCTATCTGCTTCCACCTGCTGGGGTGTTGGACCTCTCAGCAAACAGGTTCTAAAAAGATAATCTGACTAACTGAGTACTGCTTCTTCCAAATTAGCAGCCGAAGTGTGTTCATAACACATTCAAAACAAACAAGCCTACACATTACCCAGAAAATTTTCCCATGCTAACAATTCCAGATTCTAAACCAAATATGCAACAACTAAACCAAAATTATGGTTATCAAAAAGTAACACTTTAAACAACTTATGCTCTATATGAAACCTAAATTATTTTCTCAGCACATGACAGTTATCAAGATTGCAATCACGCAAGCAGAAAACTGAACCATGTACACTCAAGACATTTCAGTTGCTTATAGCTGGTTTATAAGGTGTAAAAATGAATGAAAATATAAATTTTACCCAGGATCACATGAGGAAACTTGATTTGAGCTAGCACCGTAGCTGTCGCGTTAACAGAATGGTATCTTATATAAGCCATGCAAGAAATCTTTTTGTCAGAACCGTACAACATTTTCACATGCTACATCAGAAATATTTTGCAGAATAAATAAAATATATTTACATGACTTCATTAAATTACAAAAAGACTCATTTTCATACAGATACACCTAGCCCAAAGTAAAACAATACCCTAGCAAATGGATCAGTAGACTGCTTTCCTTCATCTTTTATACCGCCTCCAAAGTACTTCAGAATAAGACATTTTACCATGGGGAAAGGATGTTTCACATCATTTCATCATGCATTGCTGTTATTTTACCTTTGTCATTCATTTTTCACTTACACTTGAGAGGTTTATATCTTAATTTAAGCAATACAAAACAGGAAGTAAGAACAACTACTATGCAACTAAAATCACAATATGAAAATAGAAAAAAATGTACTAAAAGATTGTTGTATGCCAGTTGCTTTACACTAGTGCGATAAAACTTGGAAGGTATGTATAATTATTTTAACTAGATTTAGTAAAGTCGAATGATTAGCTAAAGTCACACAACTATTCACAAAAAGTCACAATTTCAAGTTAATAGTTTGTCTTCAGGTATTTTATACAAACAAGCTTAAATACCTCTACTGAACAGAATAAGATTTCCAAGCTCTCAAATGTTATGGTTTTAAATAACTACTTTCTGAAAACTATTTCACAGTTATTCATCCAAGCAGCCTGAAATATACCTCTGAATTCAAAAGGGGCACGGGATCCTTTTACAAGGCAACCATATAAGAAGAGATTTTTTTTTTTAACAGCTCCAAATCCTTACCTTTCTGTAGACTATCATATTTGGAGAACTCTCCTCTGGGTCAGGGGTTTCCACATTACTTGGATCAGTGGGTGCTTGGGCCATGTTTGCCTCTTGTCACTCAGACTGCAAGGAAAAGAAGCAAAAGTCAGCATCACTCCAGGCTGCAGGGGAGCATGGCTAGGACACATGACTACCTCCAGGGCAGACAGACAAGGATGGTACAAAGGGAACCATGCTCCAGACTTCACCCAGTGCAGGATTTTATCACACTATGTCAAACAAATGCTTTGAATTGATCTGTCTTAAGCACAACGTTCCACGAGTGAGGACCACCATATTGCTGACATTAGCATCATCACACACACACTTCTCCCAGTTCTGATCTTGCATCATAAGCCCCAGTTGAATAAAAGACTAATTAATACACACACTCTGTTTCCTTGCTATAAAGCACAAATGGCTAAGACTTCTCTAGATTTTGTGGTGCCCTCAAACAAAAAGCCAAGGAGAATAAAAAGCTTTCTGTGAGACAGTACAAAACCCCACCGGAATCAGCTTGTGCAGCACTGCCAAGCACACTGCTGGTTGTTGCCTGCAGACGCTCAGAGCTGCCTCCAGCTCTCCACAACCCCAGAGCAGTAGCCAGGAACCAGGGGGCATAACTGATTGCTCAAAGTAGCATCCCTCACCTCTTATAATACATCAGGGAAGTGGCAGCAAGACAGAGGAAAACAACCATGTGTAATACTCCTTAACCTGAACTGTCTTCTAGAAGCACAGAAGTGCTGCCTTATCTCCTTCAGGTCATGCCAGACTTGAGGCAAAAACATTAGTTTAAAAAAATAAGATGAAATAAGGGCACAGGACGGGGAGGACACTTAAAAGTCTAAGTCAAATGCTGTTTTTCAAATTTTAATTCCACCAGCACATTTGATAAGCTACATCTTAAACGCTGTGGAGCCATGTGGTGACCTTTCCTAGCCTAAAAGGTAACACTGCCTCTTAAAAACACTGGCATTAAAGCTGTTTCACAAGCTCAATTTTTTTAACCTTGAAAGTTTTGGAATTTTCCATCTCAACATACTGTATTAAAAATTGAGACAAAAAAAGCCTAAGTATAGACATACATAATCTACACATTCTTTCCTAAATCAGCTCACTGTTTTAAACTGTCTCCCTTACTTAAGGAAGGAGATACTTTCCTGTTCCTTTCTCTACTCACTTTTCACATTCCCACAGGAGACAAAGTGCCCTAGTATATAATATACACATACAGCACACAATTCTACATGTAATACAGTCCTAAGTCATTGTAGCAGTCAGTTATCAGCAGCCAAGGACAAGTGGCAGAATCAAACGACCTCAGACCATATCCCAGCTCTGTCCAGTTTCATCAGTGAAAAGGCTATTGCTGTAACATGGCATCCTCCACTGGAGCCAGAACCAGATGAGATATCCCTTTAGCAACAGATATCCCCTTAAGCACGAGATAATAGAAACCAAGGTTAAAAAAAGTCCGCATCAATCCATATTCCTTCATTTCTTTCTTTTATAAAGTACACATGCACAGACACAACTACGGGCACAAATGCATTTGTACATGCACGTACCAATTTTGGAACTCAGTAATACAGTTCTAGCTCAAATTAAACAATCTGCATATACACAGAATCATGGAATCACCTCTGAAAGGCAAATATAGACCAATTTAGACATTATTTTATATTTCAATGATACAAATTTATTTCAACTCCTATTAAACTCTCATCTTTCTATAAGCCCAAACACTGCACTGCTGTGCTAGGTCATGAGCTAAAAAAGGAAACAGAGTAAATTCCCTAAGCAAAATTAGTAGTTGCAAAAAAAAATTTAAAAATACCAGAAATGGTAAAGGGTAAAGCATTTTAAAATTATAGCACTTCAACTTATTTACATTAATGTGCATTTTCACAGCATTTCTTAGTCGTGATTTCAAAGCACTGAAGAATTAGGCTTTAAGTATCATCACTCAACTGAACAGAGCAGAACTAGACAGATTTTATGTAACTCTGAAGGCAATTACAAAGCAGAGTTGAAAGCGTATGTGAAATCACCCAAGTTTCATCTTCACCTGCAATATAGAAAGGCCACGTTCACTACTTTCACTATATCTGAGATTATATATGCGTACTTAAAAGAAAACAATTGTAATTAACTTTTGATTGAGTAATGCTCCTTTAAAGAAGACATTTCCAATTTCTAACCAAAAAGCCTTCTGCAGCATTACAGGGAACATTTAGATTGAATATAAGGAAGAAGTTCTTTACTGTAACCGTGGTGAGGCACTGGAATGGGTTGCCCAAGGAAGCTGTGAATGCTCCATCCCTGGTGGTGTTCAAGGCCAGGCTGGACAGAGCCTTGGGTGACGTGGTTTAGTGTGAGGTGTCCTTGCCATGGCAGGGGGGTTGGAACTTGATGATCTTAAGGTCCTTTCCTACCCTAACTATTCTATGATTCTATGATTACTGAGCTGCACTTCACTCATCAGATTATCCACTTTGAACACCCACAAATTCTGTGGTTGTTGCTATACTATCAGTTCTCTTGACCTTTTCTGATACTTCAGGATTTTCCCCCATAGCAGATCTTTAAGCTTTTCATCTACTCCAGTAAAACAAGACAAAAACATCTCACACAATCTGCAGTAGTGTCTGTCATGCTGTTCACGGTGACATGGAGGGAGCCACTGACTGCCCCTGAAGCTCTACAGAATGTAACCAATACAAAGGAACCTGTTCTTGGAAGACAGAAGTTTGCAAAAGTGCTTCCCACTGTGCCAGGCATCTCCTGCTGGGTTTCAGTCAGGAGCAGCAGGAGTGGGGTCACTTTTGTGGGAGTGACAGCAGGATAGATGTGGAGGGAACAAGACTGGAGACAAGGTGACAAGATTGGACTGAGGGGCACCCCAGGACAGAGACAAGTTCAGGCACCCCCTTCATGCAGCCCAGGCATTGCTGGTGCTGGGAGGAGACTTAGCATGGGTCCCCAGGGCCCTTGAAGAATTGTCTTTAACCATCACCCAAGTTTCTTCTCTTTCTTTTAGTTCATTTTTTTTTTTTTAAATCACAAAATCCTTTCTTGGATGGTATTATTTTTTTAGAGGAAAAAAGACTGCAGAGACAATTGAGACAGTGATATGACACAGGCATGCTCTTGGCCCTTCAAGGTGAAAGCATGGCAATATTGGGTCCTCACAGATCCCACTACACCTTGCTTTTTAACATGTGAGTTGAATGGAGCTCGGCACCTGGCAACGCAGGGCAGCTTGCCTGCACTCCTGCCAAGCCTAATTTCAAGCATTCTCACTAGCCTGTGGATTGTGGCACTGACTTAACACTCACAAACTGCTGGCTACATGGCAGCAACCCTTCAACCATTGGGCAACTTCGGGATAGCCCCAAGAGAGCACAACTCCATCTCTGCCTGGGGACAGGCCACCAGAGGGAAGGGCAGACAGCCTAGAGCCAGGGCTCCGGTGATTCAGACTACCTGCTGCAAACACAAATTAGGCTACTAACATTCAAAGTACAGGGGGTTTACCCTCATACTATGTTATCATGCTGCATTTGCAACCTCTGAATTAATATAATGATATGTAAAAGTCCACATCTGACTTGCACAGTTCTGTGTTAAAAAGCAGACAAACAAAACCCCACAGCCTAGTGTGAAAGAGTCAGCACTAATTTTTCAAGGGATTCTACTGAAGTCTATCCTTTCTACACTATTTTTTCCTTACTGCCAGCCCATCTTCTCAAGTTGCAAACAGAAAGTCAACACTATGTCACCACACAGGTTAAAATGTCTGCCCTCTGAACCATTCTCTAAGCACACCAGACCCCAGAAGAGAATACAGCTCCGCCTTATGCAGACGGGGCTGAGAAGGGTGAAAGCAAACATTTTATTTAGTTTTTTTTTTAAATTAACAGTACTCATGAACAGCCTTCAGTTAAGAACCTCACCAACTATCCCTGAAGAGTACTGCCTCGCAGTTTACAACGTTACAGGTGGATAACACATGCTAGCCTGCAACCACACATCAGCAATCTAAATCTAAATCCAAAGGCGTATCTTCAGAAAACAAATTGTCCCTAAATTCCAACTTTCAGGTTCAAAAGATGCTGTTTTCCCCACAATTGTTTTTCTGACAATAGCCATGCTTGCGGTAATCCAGACTCCTCAGCAGCAGAAGTGAGAAAAAAAAAACATTTACGCTAACCATTCTTTCACTGTGCCACACCCAGGGAGCAAACTAGCAAATAAATTTCTTGTTTGTGGGTAAGATGGCCTATTAAGCCTTTAGAAAAATACTCCCAAAAATATGCTAAAGAGAGAAGGTGTACTTGCCTCTCACTGATTTTTCCTTTATATTTTATTCTTTATTATAGAACTGTTCTGCTTTTTCCCAAAAAAACCCTAAGCACACTGTAATGCTAATGTCAAATCATGAGAGATTTAGAGCTTTAGCACAATCACAGAGTAAAATATAATTTCACGTCACCAATACCTAGTTAATAGTTTTCTAATTAGTGAATCCTAGGTGTACCCTAGACTACAAAACTTTTCACATGCCTGAGAAATCATATAATCACACACCCTGCTGAACTGATAATTACCTAATAGGAAAAATCCCTACCTGCTCTACTAGAATATTTAGATCAAATTGATCACATTATTAAGGTGACAGGAGGGAAAGGGGGAAAGGAGGGGAAATCAGTGACTCCAATTACTTACCATTAATTTTAAGTTGATATTTCATATCCATTACAGAAGTCTCTTTACAATGGCACTGGGAGGAAAGAAACTTATCTTGGTGCTCTTCTCCTGGCTATTACTTCATTAAACTAGGATTTGGGCTTGCAAAGCAATGTGTGCCTACTAGAGGACAACATAGAACATACTGTAGAAGTCATCATGTTTATGAAGGTAAATACATCAACCAGAAGATCCCCAGGTCCAACGTGGTGCAAACACTGCTTTTAATGGGTGTAGCTCAGTCTGAGCACTGCACAATTCACCTCTGCTCTTCCTTCTAAAGTAAACCTGTATGACTAGTGAAATAACTTTCCAAAGAGAAACTGATGCAA